GTTTCTTACTCGATCGGACAATTCTCCAGTCACCAGAACAATCCTCGATTCATATTTGAAATCCATGCAATGAATACAGCGCGCAAGATTGCAGCTCGGCACAACCTTGTAATATATTCCATACATTGGCTCTATGAGTAGGAGGATTAAAGTAGGAAAGGAAACGCCCAAGAATTTTCCGCATGGTTTTCCACATAGCTTTCTAGCAACATCTGTCCAGCGATCCGCCCTCAAAACTCCAGAAAGTACAAATGCCCAGAGAGTTGTGGAAATATGTCATACACAATCACCTTTCTCTCCCAGCCTCCCTATGGCCACATATATCCTGCTTTCTGGTTAAAGCAGCCATCCTCTCAAATCAAAACTATCCGTTCCAATCATCTTCCTGCCACGTTTGCTTTGCTGTCTTGAGATGTGGAAGTGGAGCTAATTTTGCTGTCTGATTTGGGCTCTTCTACAGAGTTGATTTCGAGAATGTGGTAAAGGACAATCAAAAGCATTGCAGCTGAGCCAAGGAAGATCGCGAGGCGGTAAAGTTCATCGTCCGAAATCATCTTGTATAGTTGTTATTCAAATTGCGATTCGAAGAGAGTATTGAAGGAGGCCACGTAAGGTCTTTGAGAGAGAGACGATGAGTAGACTACATAACTATTAGAATTTCTTTCCTTTCAATCAACAAACAATAAATTTGAAGGGAACATACCACGAAGCTTCGATATCTACATCAATTGTACTTGATTGTGATTGACTTTGAGGTTGTTGGTTCAAGTAAGTCAAATAGTTCGTGTCGCAACAGCTTCGCGGCTTTCATGTAAGGCCAGCTTGATGGAGCCAAAGTCAAAGCTTCACTCCCCTACTAGCCCCATTCGCTAAAGTAGCCATTAAATTTTAACCCCACCAAGATCAATCAAGTCCTTGATTATGATGATTTTGATTTTGATTTCATCACCAGCCTAAAAAATACTACTGTTTCTTTAGTCACACATCAGGAAAACACAAACACAGTCTTTTCCGCATATCGATACCCTTCCATTGAATCTGGTGCGTACCTGATCATCGATTGGATCAGTCATCTATACATTACACAGAGTCTTGATCAACAATCCGACAGAATGCCACCAAAGAAGGGAAAAGGCCAGCCGGATCAGCCTAAAAAGGCACCGACCACAGTGGCGGACAAGACTTTTGGAATGAAAAACAAGAAGGGAGCCCAGGCGCAAAAACAAATCGAGCGAATGCAAACTTCGTATAAAGCTGGAGGCACTCCCGATGAAAAGAAACGACAAGCCGAGAAAGAACAACGAGAACGAGAAAAGATAGCATCAGAAGCGGCGAAGAAAGAGGCAGCTGAATTATTCAAGCCTGTACAAGTTCAGAAAGTCCCATTTGGTGTCGACCCCAAAACAGTCCTCTGTCAATTTTATAAGAAGGGCCACTGTGAGAAGGGTAGGAAGTGTAAATTCTCACACGACCTTAACATTGAGCGCAAATCAACAAAAATTGATCTTGCGCAAGATCCCAGAGAGGCAGAAGCAGAGAAAAAAAAAGAGGAAACTTCAGACGATTGGGACGAGGAGAAATTGCGCTCCGTCGTATTATCGAAGAAGGGAAATCAAAAGACTACAACAGAGAAAGTTTGCAAATTCTTTATCGATGCTGTGGAGGAGGGAAAATACGGTTGGTTTTGGACATGCCCAAATGGAGGGGACAAGTGTATGTACCAACATAAGTTACCACCAGGGTATGTTACATCGCTCTATTCAACTATCTGTGCAATCACTGACCACTATACAGATTCGTCCTCAAAACCAAAGAACAACGTGCTGCAGAAAAGGCTCTTATGGATAAATCACCTCTAAAGACACTTACACTTGAGGATTTCCTTGAGTCTGAACGACATAAGCTTACTGGCACATTAACACCAGTTACGCCAGAGACATTTGCTAAATGGAAAGCCGAGCGTTTGGACAAGAAGGCTGGTGAAGAACAAGCTAGACTTGCCAAAGAGGCTACTGGTCGTGCTATGTTCGAGAAGGGAGATTGGGAAGCCAGTGGAGATGAGGATGAAGGCGATGATAATGAAGATGATGCATGGAATATGGAGAGAATGCGACGAGAGACTGAGGCATTACGTGAGAAGAAGGAGCAAGAACGATTGGCCAACATGTATGGCGGAGCAGTCCCAAGTAGTAACGAAGCCGCACCTCAGATCGTGGAACCTGTAGCAAACGAGGAGGGGGAAGCCTCCTAATTAATTCAAGATACATGACATAAAAAGTCATTACTTGAAATCAAATTTTGAATTTTAGCGTCATTCGAAATGGGAATGTGAAATTGGATTACAGGATTTACATTGGGAATTTTGGTTTCGTCGAAGACAGTCCTCAAAATTGAGGCTCATGGGATACTTCTCTACCCGCAGCATCTTGCCAACACCACAAGAATCAAACTTTATGAAAATCGGAAGCTGAAAGAGAACCAATCATCACCGTTCCACCTAGTCGTGATATTTCCAGCACCCCGTGTGATGGGTAGGTAGAGTCGATACAGGGAGACATAAATTCATGTACACTCAAATATGCACTCCTTATTCAATAAGACTTTGTCCCCTCTTCGACTTCTCGCCGACTGTTTTCCTTCCTCGCCCAGTCTCTCCGAATCTCAATCTCATCAATCACTTCACCATCATTTCATCTTTCCAAATAACCTATGCAAAGTTTCTCCTTCTCGATTTAGCAACAACTCTCTCCTCTCTCATCATTCTCACTATAACAATTGTTAGTTACGTTTCGAACGCCCGACGAAATATATTTTATATTGGAAGAATATGAACTTACCCCTCTTCTAGACGTGTAGAGCCAGAAACCTCCAGCATATCACGCGTGAACATTCCGAATCCCGTTACTGCACCTAGCAGGATGCAGATTATGATATATCCTTTTGCAATCAGCATGAGCTCCGCGAGTAAGGAGTTTCAGTGGAACTTGGCGGGATTAGGATGATGAAATTTTAAACCGTCTTACCGTTACTATACATCCACATCATCATCACCGTATAAGAAATCGCAAACTGCACTCCATGAATCCCCGCTCTCAAGACTTGCTCCCAGACCTTGACTGAAATCCGTGGAATACGCATCCACTTCCACTCCAAGAGTCTAGATCTATCTGGTCGCTTTGTATTGTCATTGTGTCCGAGGAGAAGTTTATCCTCTTCGTCTTCATCTGCTGTTTCGAGGGACTTCTGCTGTGCACGATATGCGTTCTTGGAACGTAGGTACCGATCGTAGGTACGTTGATAACGACGGGTTGTTTCGAGGAGTATAGGGAGGAGGAAGGAAAAGAGACAAGTGAGGAGGAATTGAATGGATGTGTGGACTTGGAGGGAAGGGTGGAGGTAGCAGGTTGATGTGGTGTGAAAGTTGAGGAGCATCTAGGGTGGGCTGATTCAGCATGGAGGTGGGTCGTTTGGAGTTAGGGAACGTATGGAAATGGGATGGAGATATGAAAAAGATGCGGAGGAACTTACGGACATCTTGCAGGGAGTATGGGATAGAGATGTGTTCGCAGTGCTGGATGACATATCCATATCCATGTCCATACTCATGTCCATACCCATATCCATATCCATATTCATTTTGAATTTCTCAATCGCCTTGATAACTTGACCTAAACCACCACCTACTGTATCGAAACGCAAAGTGTATCAAAAAAAAATCAGGAGCAGTCTTATGCAAGATATGATATTGTGTATCCTCTCTCGTTCTCAATTCATTATATGATCAACAGTCAGGATCTCCTCGTACCTTGCTACCTACATACTGCTCAAATATGCGCAAACACGACAAACACACAACTATCAAATAAATCGGGGTCCAATGTCTCAAATTTCCAGATATCGATTAACCAGAGCGAGCTGCGTCATGTAGCAATATGGACTATCATTGAAAAGTTCATATTCGCTCTGGAACTATCGATTAAAGTATTAGCACTGCTACATACCTACCTATCTACAACGTCTCTCAATCCCAAAATAGGAAATTCTCCAATCGACGGAAATGCGCTCAAATTCGCGCAGCTGAAGTTGCGCTAATGTGCTCACTTTCGTAGTATGCTTGGCTTGCATGTTGGGTACACTAAATGTGTAGCTTGTAGCTTGTGTTGGGTGGATGCCTGACTTGCTAGTTGGTATGGATGAGATGGATTGGTGAGATGGGTTGATGGAATGGGAGAGGGATGAGGGAGTTGAGAAGGTTTCTTAGTAAGCGATGGTTCTGGAGAGGAGGTGAGGACGTACATACTTGTGTCTGCGTGTAGTTTGGAATTTTGAATGGGTGTTATATATTTGTAGATATTGTGGTCTGAAATAGCTGGTAGTTTGAAGTATAGGGAAATTGCAATTGTGGATTTGTTTCCTGGATCAGCTACACTTTGTTGTTTTCCCTGCTGATTAAAGCTATCTATTGCCCGCAATACAGTCATATTCAGCCCACGAAAATTGTCCAAAACTATTGTGAGTAGATCAGTAGTCTATAATCACTGAAGCACAACTTCATATCCTCGAACCTCACCGCATCCAATCAACATGCCCGTCGTCAATTCCAAAAAATACTCCTGGTATCCCCACTTCTTCTTTCGCTTCTTTCTTCTTTGTTCTCCCACATCAATTTTCTCTGAAACTGTCCTTCTGCCTCTCACCCAACAACCTTCACTCAACTAATCCAAAGAATCAACAGCGAACCATGTATCCGCGGGCATAGAGCAACAAAATGTACGCATACCAATCGACTACTGGTTTTGGTACGGAAGCCAGGACGTGCGATGCAAAATTGTGCACATGAACTTGAAGGCTGTGTTTGTGGGAGATTAGGTGGAGCTGGGGAGGATTGGGGTGTTGATGGTGAGTTGTTATTTTTATTGTTGAAGAGGATGATGAAACCGGGTAGATTGATGAAATTCTCGGGTGGGACATAAAGCTAATAAGACTAAGGGCCCACAAATATGTCGAAGTCTGTTGGTTATGATGCGAGAGAAAGTCTCAATGTCATCGCTACTATGGGAAAGCATGTCTCGAGGACGGAGAGCAAAAAGGGGAAGATAAAAGCCAAGAAAGGTGGAATAGGAGATGCACAGAAGAACAGAGTGAAGAGAAGAGCCAAAGATCGAAAATCATCATCTTCTCGGAAAACATCATCTCCATCCCCGAAATGCCCAGTGTCGGATCAGCAGGAAGTACTAGAGGATAGCAGCAACACCGAACCGGAACTTATCCTCGACCCAACACAGCCAAGGATATTCATCTCCAGCTCCATACCCATACCCGCTATATCGAACTTCCTCCCTCCCATCACAACACTGAATCATCAAGTCCAAGATCATGACCTCGTTGCTCCTCAGAATTTGTGCGCTGATCATTCACCAAGCTGTATCTTCCATCATCAACATCAAAATGATCAGGCTGGCCTTAGGACGCCTTTCTCAAGTCCATTCTTGCGCTATCACTGAATAGGATTTTCAGATAATGTCAACTGAACAACACCGATTCATTTCCAGGATAGTGCCATGCAAGAAGGAATGGTGATGGGATGTGAAATTTATGTACTGAAGTACAGAGTATGGAGAGAGGGGAAGCTTTGCAGGAACAATTTGAAGTGTCTAGATTCTTAGTCCATTCGTCGTTAAAATTGAACTCTTGTCAAGGCCCACGAGATCACCAGCGAAATTTTGAGGTTATCAATGATTTCAGTCTTGCAATCAAGGTCTGTGGTAAAAAAAACTTATTGCCTGGATTATGAATAATTGACAAAGTTGAAGTTATGTTTAAATTCCGCTAGCCAACTTCTCTATAAGCACGCTGCTGGGGTAAAAAAGATTACATCATAACGCCCACACGCTTGTACAAGTCAATTGAGATCCTAAAATGGAGTACTTGGCAACTCTGAGCTCTCCTGTATTCTCTTTTTCCAATGCTCATCAGCCCTACAATCCTCACATACCCATTTCCGTTCATTGGAACGGTAAGACCACGGCTCTCTATCAACAGGACCAGCCATACACCATCTTTTGTGCACATAAGAATTACCGATAGAGGTTTTCAAATACGCTCGCTCTTCTGTCGAGAGTTCGGCCTTTCTCAGAAGGGATGGGATCTCCAACTCCCACTCCCATCTAGTCGCTTCAGCTTCCCATAATCTCTTGAATTCATAATCTATCTCTTTTTTCCGCAAATATTCTCTGTCTACTTCACATTCAGCATCTCTCGCCTGCGTCTTAAGATTATCTTTCACAGCCTCGTAAGCAATTTTTTCTTGCTTTAGAGTTTTTCTTATCGAGTTACGTCTCTTCGTCCTCGTGACTCTTTTGATCAAACCCGAATGCTTCTTCAATTCTTCTTCGCATCGTTCCTCACTCTTTGCTCTTTTCTCATCTTGACGCTTAAGTTCCTCAATGATTTCCATTTCCGTCCTCGTCAAATTCTCTTTCTTCGCTCTGATTATCTTAAGTCTCATATCTTCTAACTCTAACCGCTTTCTCGCGTACGCCTCCAATTGCTCTCTTTCTGTATCCCAAGGTCCCCTTGTCGATCCCATGGTTTCTCGTACTCTCATACGTCTTTGTCGTCGACTTTCAAGCGAAATCGGGTCAATGGTACCTGCTGAGGCAAGACCGGATTCTACTCTTCGGAAAACCTCAGAATTAGATATAGTTTGAGATGGACCATCCTCTGGTATCGATGGCATAGGTTGTGGCTCTTCGGAGTCTAGTCCGGCGAATCTCACGCTTTTCTTCTTCTTACGTGGATTTTCCATGATGTAGTTGACTGTAGCTGGATGGGGATATCGTGACTTTGTGGGACGGCAATTGATCTGAAGGTCAGGTTACGTGTGCAGAATATGAGTGAAAAGAAATGCTTGAAAGTGTATGTAATGATTTGCATGAAATTTTGTGAAGAATGAACTTTCGAATATCGTTTTGCCGAGTAATGGGCTGCGGTATTTTGACTGCCAGTCCAAGTATTAGGAGATTAATGTCCAAGTTCAAAGGATAAGAGGTACCAAAATGATGTGTGAAGCTATGTAAAATCCGTATTAAACTGATATTGAACTATTGAAAAATGCCTTGTGGATAATTTAATGTTGTTTATTTGATATTCGTTTGTAAGACCTTGGTTTGAAAGATTTATCGTAAACAGAGGAGTGATAAGTATGAGAACTTGGAAGAGGAAAGAGTGGTGGAAACAGAAAGAGAACTCGTACCTCGTGCTTTCCTCTATCATTTCTTCATAGAAGATAAAAGGGAGTTGCATTGGGTCCATCACACGTTTTCCAGTTGGGAAAGTTCATCACTAATCAGATTGTTGATCGACTCTTTTCCATATCTGTGATCCATCTTTTCAGACCTGTTAAAAAGACGGATCTGTTTGCAGTATATCATTTAGATTTTCCACTTTCTATGACTACAACAACCATTCTTAAAACCAACAGGAAGGATTACAGAGTGTTTTTTATTGATTGCCCTCTGACCCCTTTATTTGACGCCATTTCTGCTACTATCCCGGCTTTACAGTTGCACGCTTTCGCGCCAAAGGTTTCAAAATTTCAAAATTTCAACTTCAGTTAACGGCATCAGCGCCATTTCTGCAATCGCACTGCATCCGTTGAGAGATTCTCTCGGTATAACCTCCAATCAGGATCATCTCGCTTTACACAATTCGTCTTGATTATATTTCTAAACATCATGGGCAGGTTCAACTCCACTTGCCAACGAAATCGCTTCCGCGGTACTAGCTCCAAAATTTCAAATTCTATCTTCACGGATCTGATCAGTTTGCTCTTTCATTTCGCGCTGCACGTACGCCAATAAACCCTCTGACTTTTATCACTGTCTTCTATCCTACTCTTTGTCCAATCTGGATGATTCATTGCTCCTTTTTCCAGGGCGATTACTGAAACTCGGCTACAGTTTTCTCGGTGATTCACACGGGTAATAATACATAGTCACACTTCTCAAGACTCATCGATACCATTTATCAATCACAGTTATATCAAGATTATTTCACGATTGAGTTTTCATAGTCAAAAATTCCAAAAGGTTTCATAATTACTATAATCAAGCTAATGTATACCCAAATTCCGCATCTTTATAGGTCCAGCCTACAGAAATCTTCATGAACACACCCACCTCTCTAATTTCCATCATAAGCAACCCTAAGCCTACGTTGCTCTTTCTCTTCCGCCAAGTAAGAGAGTCTAGAATCATACTTACAGTCCTCGCAACAAGAGCCTCCTCGCTCTAGGAGGCTTTGCGAGGTCATACATCTCGAGAGATGTATCTTGGCATTTCTCGCATTACGATTCTCTCCCAGTTCCTGTAACCAACGCTCTTCTTCCGCCTTCCTAGCCATCTCGAAATTTCTCTCCAACACTAGAACTTGCTGTTTCGCTTCCGCTTCGATTCGCTCTTGTGTTGCTTTCGAATGGAGTTTAGACGCAATCTTACTTCCCCATTCGTTGGAATGTTGGGCTTGTTGATGTCGAGCTTTAATAAAATTAAATAGACTCTCTGTGGCTCTGTCTGTCGCCTTTCGCTCGGTATCCCATGGCGTTCTTCTCTCCTTTTCGATCGCGGCGCGATTCTGCATACGTCTAGCGTGTCTGGAAGCTTGTGCTTCTCGTTCATTCTTTTCCTTGGCTTTTTGGGCAGGCGATTTGTTTGCTTCCTCTCTTTGATTGTCTGCAGATATCTGTTTCTCGATATCGTTCCATGAACGTAGGGAGCCCAGAAGAGGGCCCATATCGATATTTGGATCGAGGGATTTAGAGGAACCAGAGTTTTTTTGAAGTTTGTTGGCCATATTGTACTGTTATATGTAAGAAAGAGATTTTATATTTCAAAGGGCTTTACAGGCTGGAGTAAGTTTTTAGATGTGGGGGCCTGGAAGCTTAAGTATCGAGTGAAGGATCAGATTATGATTGATTTTGAAGAATGGGTAGATCTGGATGTGAACGTTTACATTTATTATTTCGAGTAGAAAATTGTTAATGTTATTCATCGGATGTTTCGTGATCAGATAAATGAATCAATTCAGTACAATGAATATCTGCCGTATGTGTGACTTTTTGACAATAAATCATAATTTTATAAGGAATTTTTGAACAAAGGGTTTTTGTTGTGAAAACAGTTTTAGTACAAACAGTCTTTGTTGCTGAAGCATTTTTGAACAATCGATCTCCATTGTGGAAAACTTAATCATGCATTAGTTCTCTCTTTAATAGTATCTCTTGTGCAATAGATTCCCACTTTATATTTCATTTCTGTACAATAGAAACCTACTGTACCGACAAGTCCCGTACAATGAACTCCCTCTACGCAGTCTGACCCCCCCTCTCCCCGAAACTCGCTTATCTTGTCATCAACCTCTCAGGTAGTCACTTTAGCCTCACGTGTGGCATTATGCATTCTACCTCTTGAATTGTAGGTCACGCATTGATTTTTTTTGGTCATCTGCTTCCTCATGGAAGGATTGCTAATAGTACGATATTTCATGCCCTTAAAGTCCTAGCCTGTGGACCTCACCCCAGAAATGACCAACCTCATTTTCATCTTCGCAGTCCTTGCAGTGTGCACCCCTAGAAGCGGGCTTTCGAAGACTTGGCATGCATCTTGAGAGATGCCTCTTGCTAATCTCGTCGTTGATAGTTACAAGGCTTTGAGGGGACCAAGTAACACCGTCTTCATCAGGTCCTGCGTATCGACTGTCGTAGGAGTCTGCAGCCTCCAGCTCTTCCATCCAGCGGTTGAACTCACCTTCCCATGCTTTTTGAGTGTTTAATCTCTTTCTCTCTTTTTTACATCTCTCTCTGCCTTATTAGCATTCCATTTCTTCTCCACCTCAGCCAAAGCGAAACGTCGCCGTTCTCTATCATAAACGAATCGAGCAATTTTCTTTAACTCCTGGGCCTTGTTCACTTCGTCGGAGTTACATAGCTCCTTGTATTGTACTTCTGCGACCATCCAATTTTGGATTGTGTTCTGCGACGCAATTATTTCAAACCACCACGGTGTACCCATATTACCCTCAACCACATCTCGAGCCATTCTGCGTCTTTCTTTCCTACTTCTACGCTCTTTCAATTCCTTGATCAATTCCTCTCGGATTTCCCGGTCACGACGTTGTTCTTCAGCTCTTCTCTTGCCATTGTGGTTATCGTGCCGATGGCTTGAATTTCCGTGGTGGCGATCATGTCCTGTCATCGTAAATGAAGCGGATTTGTTGTTTGTCCTTGATCACCGGGTGTTAAAAGTCTATGGTTTGAGAGAAGTAAGTACTCTGATATCTTTGGTAACATGTTCTGTGTCAGTACCGACAACTAAACGTATAGGGCATCCACATACCAATGTAGAATTTTGCGATAGTAGAAGAATGTTTAAGCGTGCAGTGCAACAGATGTTGCGCTCGCTACCCCTGATGTTGTCATGTACTAAGTGATAGTGGATTTCGATGTGACTTTTCAATTCAAAGTATGTGAAAACTAAAGGAAAATCTTTCCAAAGCCGGAAGGGAAACGAAAGGGTGTAGGTCGTTTTTTCATGGATAGACTCATAGAGAGATGTGATCCCAATACTCATCACGAACGAATTTATTCATCAATATTACTCAAAGCCCACCATATGAATATTCAATACATCTTATACTCATACGAGTTCCCTCTAGGGATTGAAGAATCATTCCAAAAAAATTCGCGAGATTGGAATTACCACAAACCCAATTCCCACCCGTCAGGTGTTCTTCATGCAGCTCATATCCTAGCGTTGGACATTCACATTCGATCATATCTTAGCAGAACAGTCTTGAATTATGTAAAAGACATAGTAACACTGAGTATTTCCGACACAAATTGAAATCTGAACCCCATTTACACATCAAAACCCAAACCCTATTATATGAATAATTGTCAAACATCACAATCCATGATTCAAACTATTGAAACGGTAGACTTTTACCAAATGTCTTATGGATGAGCAAAAAAAGACAGATATCTTCATTATGTGAGTTCTAGAAAATATGCTATTTCTCCCACTGTTGCTGCTACTTTTACAATGAGCCTATCATATTTCTGGAACAGCAATAGAACATCGTCCAGAAGAACCCTCCCAAGAAAAGAATCATCTTTCAAATTGCGTTGTTAACCTACTGTAATCCGCGGACAGCTGCTCTTATCCTTAACCCTGGTATACATATAAAAGCCAAAAAAGATCGATGCGATTCAGATCATGACTCAACAAATACTAGAAAATTTTGTCGGATTTCTCTCCATCTGCAAAAATAATCAACTGGAATCCGTCTCTTTGAGGCACAAAGTTGCCTGGGATATTTTTGAAATTGCGTATCCTGGCATCTTAGAAATAACATAGCATCTGCGACCTACAAGAAATCGCCGCGATTGCACAGTCCAAACGAAATAAGCTAAGCTATCAAAAACATTTAATGTCCCCCACCAAACTCTTTTCTCTGCAAATGCCCTTCTAAGCTGGTCCAGCAAACAACCTTTGGTACTGAGATTGTAGATCTTTGAGCCTGTAAATATATAGCAGTGGCTGCTGGTCTTGCGAGCGGCGAGCCAATTTCCCTTAGCCCTCACTACCGAGAGAGAAGCTCTATTAAGAGTTAAAATCTCATCCCAGCTATCCGCAGCGACCAAATCGTCTTTCTCAAACATCATGGAGCATCCTGGAGCCAGAGGAGCCCTCGCGATCAAACAGCGCCCCTAATTTTTGCGCTGTCTCGTGAAGTCTGCCAGCCTCAACATCGTGCTTACGTGTACTGGAGATGCTTTCTCCGACACCCTTATACTCTTTCGAGGCCTCCAATTTGATAATTGCGAAATCTAGATTGAAGCTCGAAAGGGCAGAAGTGGTGTCGTTCTGTAGCGTTGCAACACTGGCAATGATTTTTGAAAATCGCGCTTCCGACGAAGGCCGTGACCTAGACTTTGATGCTCTTATATAGTATTCGATGTCTATGATGTGCCGAGTACGCTGTATATTCATGCTAATATATGCAGTCTATTGCAGTTTGTAAGAGGGTCAATCTTTCAGCTTGGTTAAGCGTTGTGATACCACGGAGTTTAATCCTCCGTCGTTGTTACCCATGCTTGACCGGGGGGACGTAGATACAACCAAGATCGAGCCTGCTATATTAATGACTATTCCTACACCTCGTTCAAGATCTAAGCAACCGATAAAAAATCAAGCAAGCAATGAAGGAATAGTTTCTCCCCAGTCGAAGTGCGTCTACAGCATGGGACTTTCAAAGTGTGACTTTGATGCTGTTCCTGGGACTCCTTGTTGTCATCCCGCATGTGAAGGCAATAAGTTCCTCCCGATTATGCCTGGTACCTCAGATTTTTCCTGGACCCCAAGTGTTTATACATGGTCCTGGTTTGACCGCAATTGGAACGAAAACCTAATCATAAAAGTACGCCATCAGAGAAACAAGATCCATCCACTGGATGAGAAATCTCGAGCCGGCCCCCCCAAATCCAATATTAATGGCATACCTAGCTTCCAGAAGCCATGAAGAATTCAGACACCTCCAATTACCCTGCTTCAACAAAGTAACTCTATACTCGACTATTAGAAAAACGTAAAAGTATCTCCACCTTAGCAGTGAACGAGTCACGAAAGTAAACGGGAAACATCTTCAAAACCACACATCTTCCAGAATCACAGTGGTGATGGAAACCGATTATGATGCTGAGATTATGTGGCTATGATTGTATCGACATTTACTAGAGTATTCATCGAAGAGGTAGTCAAGCAGAGTGTAAAATCAGAATATGAGATTATGACCGAGTTTTGAATCACGTGTGATATCTGTTTTCAAGCTAAGCTGATTGGTGATAAGATCAAAGACTAAGCACATGACAATAGCTATACTATCAAAAGTCACATGATTAGAATAGACACTGGGGAGAGGACGGCAAGTCTCTGTCTCTGTTACCGGTACTTCGAGATCCCCTGAGATCCATCCCATGTTTCGTTTCCGCAACGCAACAAAAAGAATCTCCACCCCCATAATGCTCAGACCTCCTCTCGAGCTATTTTTAGTTCCCACGTGATAAACCCCAAAAATGACTCATAATCACTCATCCTAACTCATCATGAATCTTTATTGCTCACCACACCACATCCTGACTCAACCAATCATATTCAAGTATTTTCTCTAGTGATTTTCACTGCATATTGTGTTTGCTGGGAAAGGGGGAAATGAAGAGAAGAGTAAAGTGAGGGAAGATGAGGGGGATTTGGTGAGGGCTGGTAAGGGTTTGGTGAGGGAATAGAGAATTGAGGAGAGAGTTATCTTTTTGCAGATTACAGAGTGTGTTTCTTGGGTATGGAGTTATGGGGTGGATAAACGGGGTTTCATTCTTGACTGAGGACGGTACACATGGTCAATATACACAGGTACACACTATACCGACAAGAGAAATGTGACATCCGCAAATACTGTGATAAATGCTCGACATAATGAGCCATGAATGTTCATTTCGACTCATGCTGATGGATAGTGATAGGATATTTCTCATGAGTGTTCTTGTAGTTGTAAACATGAGTTATTGTGTGTAAGGTGTATGTGTATGTGATATGAATGTTATATATAATGAAGCATAGAGAATGGAATGAAGTATAAAGAATCTCATTGTGATCCAATCCTCGAAAGATGTGAGAGTGTGAATATCGAAGTGGATTGCATTGAAACGACATATGAAAACTCAAGGAAAGAAGATGTAAGTACCCCCAGATCACTTCAACCCCCAATGCATCTGAGACTGTGATTCAAATCCTTTTTTGCCGATATGAGTGATCAATCTGCTGGTCCATGAACTATCGAACCGACATCGTCTGAATGTCTCACTTTACACATCTTTCATATATCAAACTTTTTTATCACGAATAGCAAACTAATGATGGTGTATGATAATTCAATTCAAGTCTCGATAATCGCGCCCATTGCAGCAAATAGCACGTCAGAAATCCATCCATCCTCTTCAAACCCGATCCTAATCCTTCTTACTTAACAAACTCTTCAAAATATCAGTCTCACCCTCCAATTTCGCAACACGAACTTTCAAGGCGTCTCGTTCTCGTTCGACTTCTTTGAGTGCGGCCTCGAGACTACTCATTTGATCGACGCGTTTTTGTCGATATCGACGAGCGGCTAAAGTGTTTAGCTTGCGTTTTTCAACTCGTGATACGGTGGATGAAGAGCTGGTTGGAGTTTGAATTTTGGGAGAGGGGGGTGAAGGTGGAGATGAGTGAGTTGGTGAGAAAGTTGATTTGGGGTTTGAAGAGGTAGGGGAGGATTGATCGGTGGATATTGCTGTTGAAGATATGTCAGTAGTGCTATATGATGTCAGAAGTGGGAATCAAATCTTACCTCGATGAGTTTGATTATCAAGAAATGAATGGGATTGAGACATATTGTCAATGGATCCAACATCCGATTGACCCAGGAAATTATCATTACCGATAGAGGCACCAGCAGCGATGGGAAGAGAAGAATCAAGTGATAAATCTCCTCCTATTGACAGATCATTCCATGTGAGAAATTCGAAAGAATCGGTTTGTGGCAAGTACCAATCAGGGGAATTCTGGAAAGGTACTTGTTGAATTGGGGCAGTAAATGCATCGAGAGGAAACAAAGAATCTGCTGTCGAAACAGAACATTGAGCATTTGCATCGAAACCGAAATCATATTCATGGAACGATTGAGTAGAGCTATGATCCCAAAGTGAGGAACTCTGGAGATCAAGGAGACTACTCGTAGAACTAGACTGATTGCTGTGGTGCGTAGAATCCGATGGTGGATTGGCGTCCGGTGGTTGCTGTTGTAGTAGCGGTGACCGACATTGTTGTATTGTTTTTTAACGGGCCTTATGACCCGTAGGTAAAGTTGTTGATTATCGAAAGATAATAATTGTCGTTGTTGAAATAAGAAAGAAGATCAGGAAATGAGAGTGAAGTTGAGTCCCTTTGTAGTCAATCACGATAAGCGCTAATTTAGTTCCCCATTTTTTGCTTGAAAATCGGTGTCTTGATTGGCTATGATGATGTAGTGAAACGGTTTCTCTGCTCTGATTTGGCCTTTATCTAACGCACGTCCCGTGATCCATCAAGCATGTATATATTCTCTTAATATTCGATCTGAAATCGAACAATAATCATTTATATTCGAATTTTGAATAATATTCCAAAATGTTTGGATATATCGGTTTTTATATTCGGAATACTGAAAGGTGCCTCCTCCTATATTGACATTAATATCCAAAACCAAAATATCAGTCTTTCAATGTTTGGTTTTCTTTGCGTGATTTGGTGTTACCGCCTTTTTCGACTGGATGGAATCTGCACATTGTGTACATTGATTAAAATCGGAGAAATGCTCACATTTCACATCTCACATTCAGATAATGACTGCAGCTCGGTGACACCTCAGACTCAAAAAAACAGTGGCTGCATTCAAACATTCCATTCCCAATTCAAGTGTTGGAGAATTTGCGGATTTTGCTTTCAAAGAATCTTCCAAACTCGGCCAAGATGACCATTTTTCGCTTGCAGACGGAAAATTGACAGTCTCGGCCTACCTGTGTTGTCGGTAAGTTCGGTCCCTTTGCGCAAGAGAATATCGGCAATAGTTCTAAATGTCTCACAGGGCCCGAGTGAATGAACGGCTTTCAATGCCGATTGAAAAGCAACTTCGCCGATCCCAACAACATAGTTCATGCGACGATCCGGGAAATAAAAGTTGCGATTGTTCTCCTCCAAAAAAAAGTGATTGACAGACCCGCCTTGAGCTTCAATCCATCGATTCTGTCCCGCATCTGCTCTGCTACTGGCCTTACGCTGGACCCAAATTGCATGGGTATGATAAAATGGAAACGGAATATCAAAGTACAGCTTTGCAAGCGATCCAGGGGAAAAATCGCATACAGACAAGCAGCTTTGCTCAAATCAAACATATACGAACACATCGACTTCCACTGCTCTGAAACCTTGTCCCAGATGACATCTGTGGAGAAGGATTGCCTTTCAGCAGTAATCCATATTTCGTTCTGACTATTGAATTCCGGACTGTCCGAATGGCCAACAAGAAAAGAGAATCGAATCTTATAGTTCAACTCGGCCGTTGCTGAAAAGTCAACAGAGGCAAATTGCAAATACAACTAATCTGGCGTAAAAAACCGAATCAGAATCTTTAGAAAGAGCGAAATATTCGAGTCTTATGAAACCCTTGATCTTATTCGCCTCGAAGGAAGATGGTTTCTACTAGTTTAACACTACCGAAGGAATGAATCCCGCCACCAAGAAACCAATAACGAACTCGTACTGTTATCCACTCGCATCTTCAATTGACGCCCGCTACGTATATGTATGAACCTAGTCTCGGGAAGTCTTATGCATTTTATGGTGAAGATCTTTCTTATTAGGGAATTATGCAATAAAGGAATATACTCAGATACTCACCGTACGGTAAAAAATGTGAGATGCAATATTTTTTCGTCCGAAGAACTAAGCAGATTTTGGCCACAATCTATTCCTGGTCAGGGAGCCGAAGGAACAGAGAAATCACGAATCAGGAACGTGAAACTAAATTAGTCAGCAACCGAGGTAATCTAATATTCATAACTTCGTAATCTGACCAACCAGATAACAAAGATCTTACATCCCACTTCGTAACTTCGTACACAATCAACATGAAGATTCACTTTGATGGCGCCAGCTTATGATCAGTGCATGTTGTCTCCCACTATTACGGATGGCAGATACGCAGATATGTTCGCCTCAATCAAGCCAACATGGAGATGGGATTACTACCACAATAAACAAAATGGGATGAAACGAAATCTTAACGACACCAATAGGAAGAATAGGAAGTGTGTACGTGAGATCTAAAGATGCCCAGCATGGTCGTACAACACAGATACCGGTAAGCCTGCTAGGATAATAAATGAGATCTGATACACAAAATGAATTGTTGGAATTCTTCAATGATACCTTGATCCCCTTCCAAGCGATTGAGGCAAATCACTCTCCCTTGATGCGTCGTTTATGGCATTCCATCAAAACAAGGATGCCGTCGAACCCATGAT